TCACGCTCACCTTATCGCACACCGGCTATACCTACATTCTTTCCTATGATACGCTACTTGCTACCTACCGCGCGACTGCGCATTCTCGCCTTTCTCTTACCCCTGCGCCACTTCCGTATATCGTTCGCCATCGATTCATCGTTTCCATTTACGGTACATGCTCGCGTTCCGCGCCTTTCCATCTCCCGCCTCGTGTTCCCGCTCGTCGCTCGCGCGGCGCTCACATATACCGGCCGCCTCTCGTTTCGACCCCCTCAGTCTTGCACTCGTACCACGAGCGCGCCGTACTGAGGGTGAGTCTTACTTACGCCCCGTTCCCGTTCGGACTCTTTACTCATGTACTCGGCTCGCAGTCTTTGTCTGTTCGCCCACAGGTACATAATATATCAGTCTTGCACTCGTACCACGAGCGCGCCGTACTGAGGTCTTTGTCTGTTCGCCCACAGATCCCGCTGCACGCTCCGCCAGGTTATGAGCCCTGCGTGAAGGCCTTACCTGCAAGACTCACACGCACACGCACACCCGCTTCTTATCCCACGCTCTACCTGCTTCCCATCTCGTCCATCTGCTCGCTATGTCATCTACTCCATCCCTCGCCGACTTCGTCTCCGCCCTCGACAAGCTCGAAGTGCGTGGAAAGAACTGGGTCTCCTTCAAGCGCCGATTCACCATCGCTGTGCGCCAGAAGGAGGTCTGGGACCACTTCGATGGCTCAGCCACGCGCCCGTCTCCTGCCGTCGCTGATGCACCGACCGCCGACGAGGAGAAGGAGCTCAAGGCCTGGACGAAAGCCGAGAACACCGCCCTCTACCTGCTCTCGCTGAAGACTCCCGAAGCGATCTTCTCGAAGTACGAGGATCGCGAGACGGTCGCACTCATGTGGGCCGCTATCAGCGACGAGTTCACGAAGAAGTCGCTCCTCTATCGCACGACCCTCCGCGCTGAGTTCATGGGCATGCGCTGCGCTCACGGTGCGGATCTCCATCTCGAGTTCGACCGTGTTCGCGCCGCCTACGATGAACTCCTCAACGTCGGCATCAACATCAGCGACGGCGAGTACGCCTCAATGCTCGTCACTTTCCTCCCTTCCGAGCTCTCTTCGTTCGTCTCGCAGCTCTCCGCGACGGCGAAGCTCTCTCAACGTCTACACCCAACCACTGCCGGCACAGCTGCGGATACCGGAACCGCCGCTGACGCTGACAAGCCTATCATCGCCCCCGACCTCCTTATGGAGCTGGCGCTCGAGGAGTGGGATAGGAGGCAGCTGGACAAGAAGACGAAGGGGAAGGGGAAGGACGCCGGCGTCGCTGCCGCTGCACTCTCGAGTGAGAAGCCAAAGTCGAAGGGACGTGTCGGTCCACGCAGGCCTGTTGGGGTTTGCTGGACGTGTGGAGGAAAGGGTCACAGGCAAGCAGCCTGTCCGAGCTCGAAGGACGACAAGAAGGGCAAGGACGGTGGCAACAAACCGAACGCCCCCGCTGCGGGTGGTACGGGTGCTGTTGCTGCTGCGTGGACGCCGCATGTCGACGATGTCGACGGCGCATGGGCCGTTTTTGCGAACGAACCGCTGCCTCCCATGCGCGACGCCTGGTCGGACACTGCCTCCGACGTTCCCAGCTCTATGCCCGAGCTTGCCACGCCTGCCGCCTCTGACTGCGACTCTATGCCCGAGCTACAGTCTGTCACAGCCTCGGTGGACTCAATTGCCCCATCTGAGTGCTACGCTCGCCCGTCCTACGCCGACGAAGCGACGACGCCCACCCCAGAGCCTCTACCAATGCAGACGCGCCTTGCCGGCGTGTCCGTCTGGCTCGAAGAGCTGCCCAGAGCAGGAGAGTTCGACGCCGTCTCTCCCGAGGACCTGGTCTATGCCGCACCTGTCCTACCCTCTGACTTCGCTGCCGCCGCGACCTCTTCTCAGCCAATCGACCTCTATGACTCGGGGGCTAGTCACCATATGTCCCCGCACCGCCAGGACTTCGTCTCGCTCTCAGAGACGCGCATGACACTCAATGCCGCGAACCAACAGACGTTCCGCGCAGAGGGTGTCGGGGAGATGGTCCTCCCTGTTCCGAACGGCTCTGCGCCTGACACCCGCATCCGTCTCACCAATGTTCTCTATGCACCAGACGTTGGCTACAACCTCATCTCCGTAGGCCGCATCGACGACGCTGGCTACGCGACCACCTTTGCCGGCGGCAAGTGCGTCATCATCGACACAGAGGGCAACACTGTCGGCACCATCCCCAAGAAGGGCGGCCTCTACGTCGTGCGACGTGAGCGCGACGACTCGGAACCAACAGCGGCTGCAACCACCGTCGAGGAGATCACCGAGATGGAGGCCCACCGCCGCTTCGCACATGTTCCCATCCGTGCGATCAAGGAGCTCATTTCGCGTGGCTTCATCACCGGCATCAAGCTCGCACCCTCGAAGGAGCCCCATACCTGCGAGGCGTGCATTCGCGCGAAGAGCACACGCCAGCCTGTCCCTTCCGTACGCGAGGGCGATCGTGCGGAGCATCTAGGCGACGAGGTTCACTCAGACACCTGGGGTCCTGCTCGTATTGCGACTCTGGGCGGCCGCAAGTACTACGTCAGTTTCACAGACGACGCGACGCGTTTCACCACTGTCTACCTCATGCGCACGAAGAGCGAAACCTTCGTCAACTACCAGGCATATGAGGCGTGGCTCGAGCGCCACGAGGACGTTCGCATCAAGCACCTGAACATTGACCGCGGCGGCGAGTACCTCAGCGACGTGTTCATAGCGCACCTCGACGCGCACGGCGTTGAACTCAAGCTGTCCGTGCATGACACGCACGAGCACGCTGGCGTCTCGGAACGGCTCAACCTCACGCTCATGAACAAGGTCCGCGCTCTTTTGATCTCATCTGGGCTCCCACGTTTCCTCTGGGGCGAGGCTCTCTTGCATGCTGTCTGGCTCAAGAACCGCACGTCAACTAAGGCTCTTGGGGGCCGCACACCGTACGAGGCTGTCACTGGCAGTCCGCCGAACCTCTCGGGTGTTCCTGTCTGGGGCGCACAAGTCTGGGTCCACAGCACTGCTGCCGGCAAGGTCGGTGATCGAGCAGTCGCTGCACGCTGGGTTGGCTTTGATGGGCAGAGCAAAGGACATCGGGTATACTGGCCCGAGCGGCGTTCCGTCACTGTCGAGCGCAATGTGCGTTTCGCCGCGCCGAACCTCCCGGCACCGTTCGCTGATGACGACGCTGCGGAGCTTGAGGGGGAGGATGAAGCGGACGATGACAAGTCCGCAACGTCCGAACCCGAGCCGCCTGAAGCGAAGGACGAGCCTGCTGCGAAGCCGACCACGCCCATCGCAAACCTGCCCCCAGCGCCAGCGTCGGACCCTGCCGCACGCCCCACACGTGCTCGCATGCCATCGCGCATTGTGCGCGACATCTTGGAAGGCCGCGGGGCTGACCAGGAGCTGCCGCGTGGCGTACGCGTCCAGGACGCAAGGGATGAAGAAGACGCAGTGGAGGACCTGCTGGAGGAGGTGGACGGAGTGGCGATGGCCGCAGCTCAGGCGCAGGAGGAGGGACTCGACCCTGCCTCGCTCGCAGAGGCGAAGCGCCGCCCGGAGTGGCCGCGCTGGGAGGAGGCGATGAAGGAGGAGATGGACGCGCTTCAGAAGCATCGCACCTGGCGACTCGAGCAACCCCCGCAAGGCACTAACGTGGTTAGTTGCAGATGGGTTTTCCACGCCAAGAAGGACGCAAACGGCAACGTCTATCGCTACCGCGCACGCCTCGTTGCGCGCGGTTTCTCGCAAATCCCAGGTATCGACTTCTTCGACACCTACGCACCTGTCGCAAAGACTGCTTCCATTCGCATCGCGCTCGCTTTTGCCGCACGTCACGACTTTGAAGTCCATCAAGTCGACGTGAAGTCAGCGTACCTGAATGGTGAGTTCGATGAACACGAGGTCATTTATATGTCTGTCCCGCCGGGCGTCCAGCTGACCGATGATCCTGCTCTGGCGTTGCGCCTGCTTCGTCCCCTGTACGGACTGCGCCAGAGCGCGAGACATTGGCACAAGAAGCTGCGCCAAGTGCTTGAGGAGCTGCTCGACATGCATCCATGCGATGTCGATCAGGCCGTTTTCTTCCGCGTTGCGGGGAGCGATCTCATTGTCATTGTGGTGCATGTTGACGACCTGACAATTGTTGCTTCATCAACGAAGCTCATTGTTTTGGTTAAGTCTAAGCTGCGTGAGGCGTTCGAGATCTCGGATGAGGGTGAGATCCACTGGATCTTAGGTTTTGCGGTGATTCGCGACCGGCCTACCCGCACCCTCTCCCTGTCTCAAACAGCGTACATCGAAGCGATCATTCGTCGCTTTGGCCTCGAAGACGCGAAGTCACTTACGACGCCGATGGACCCGCACGTACAGCTGACGACCGAGCAGTCGCCTAAGACAACGGCCGAGGTGGCAGAGATGCGGAATGTCCCGTACCGCGAAGCGGTTGGCTCACTCATGTACGCATCTCTGGGCACGCGTCCGGATATCACGTACGCCGTCTCCGTTCTGTCGCGCTTCTCGGAGAACCCGGGACGCGCGCACTGGGAGGCGTGCAAGCGTGTGTTCCGCTACCTCGCAGGGACCAAAGCCCTCCGCCTGACGTATGGCGCGAAGGAGCTCGACCTCGTGGGTTTCACGGACGCCGATGGCTCCATGCACGATGATCGCAAGGCCGTCTCTGGCTACGCGTTCCTCATCGACGGCGGAGCCGTCGCATGGGCGTCGAAGAAGCAGGAGATCATCTCCTTGTCCACCACCGAGTCCGAGTACGTCGCGATCACGCACGCGACAAAGGAAGCTCTCTGGCTCCGCTCGCTCATCGGACAGGTCTTCGCGCCGTTCACCGAGGCCATCCCGCTCAACAGCGACAACCAGTCCGCCATCGCCCTCACCCGCGACCACCAGTATCACGCCCGCACTAAACACATCGACATCCGCTATCACTTCATCCGCTGGGTCGTCGAAGACAAGAAGATCAAGCTTGTCTATTGCCCGACGAACGACATGGTCGCCGACGTCCTTACGAAAGCGCTCCCCTCGCCGAAGGTCAAGCACTTTGCGTCCACCCTTGGCCTGCTCTAGGATTGAGGGGGAGTGTTGGAGCAAGCAATCCGAGCGCAGCGGACACGCAAGCTCCCGACGACCGCGCCGTGCGCCGCGCCCGCGCACCGTTGTGCGCGACGTGCGCACTCGTCGTGCCTCACGCTCACCTTATCGCACACCGGCTATACCTACATTCTTTCCTATGATACGCTACTTGCTACCTACCGCGCGACTGCGCATTCTCGCCTTTCTCTTACCCCTGCGCCACTTCCGTATATCGTTCGCCATCGATTCATCGTTTCCATTTACGGTACATGCTCGCGTTCCGCGCCTTTCCATCTCCCGCCTCGTGTTCCCGCTCGTCGCTCGCGCGGCGCTCACATATACCGGCCGCCTCTCGTTTCGACCCCCTCAGTCTTGCACTCGTACCACGAGCGCGCCGTACTGAGGGTGAGTCTTACTTACGCCCCGTTCCCGTTCGGACTCTTTACTCATGTACTCGGCTCGCAGTCTTTGTCTGTTCGCCCACAGGTACATAATATATCAGTCTTGCACTCGTACCACGAGCGCGCCGTACTGAGGTCTTTTGTCTGTTCGCCCACAGATCCCGCTG